AAGGGAAGGAGACGACCTAACACCAACACCCGCCACCCCCATACCCTCCTCCCCACGGCTGCAGGGAGACAAAGGAGGAGGGGGTGGGCGAGAAGAAAGCCGCAGAGCGGCTACAATATGTAGGCGCTGGTAGGTCAGGGGCGGCTGCAGTGAGAACGGGTGCGGAAAGGCCCGTCGCGTGCCACGGGGCGCACGACGGGTAAGTTTAAGTTTAGGGCCCGATCGTGTGCCTCGGGGCGCACGACGAGCAGGGCACCGTCGCGTGCCACGGGGCGTACAACGGGCAGGTTTAGGGCACCGTCGCGTGCCACGGGGCGCGCGACGGGCAGAGAAAGAGTCACACGCCAACCGGGGGCGGGACAAGAAGAAAATCGCCACGCGCCCTAGGCGCGCGACCGAAAAAGTAGCAGCGGAAGCATAAGGCGGGCCCACACAGGCCAGATCAAAACGTGCTCTGAATCCATGTTAAAATGAGCTCGAGGTTACTAAGTTTTAACTAGGGCCTAGGCTTAGTAGCCTAGGCCCAACTAGGATGTCGAGTGAGTTGAGCCAAGGGTGAGAGGGTCGAGAAAGTTGGAAAGTGAGGTTTCACTATAGGTTCAAGGAACATATAGCATAGGAAACAAAAGGGTGCACCGCCTAACAAAATTTACAATAACTACACTAACTACAGCTACAGGCAGTTACAAATATAAATAATATAAAGTCTGACATAACGCGTGTAGACGCCGACAACCAGCAGGAAGTACCGCTCGTGGCCCTGTCCACGGACGCGGGCTGGGCCCCACACGTCCAGGTGGAGAGTCTGCAGCGGAGCCTCTGTGGGAGGGAACGAGGAGGAGTGAGGAGCGGCGCGCTCCCACCCCTCGACGCAAGGAATGTAGGGCGGCGCAGGCGAGGGAGGGAGGGCAGGCAGAGACCTGGGATGACCAGAGACCAGGAAGCGAGAGTGCATGCTACGCAGGCGAGGTAGGGAGGGGTGACCAAGGCGGTGGTGCCATAAGAGAGTGTCGTGCGACAGCCGGCGACACTCACACTGGGTAGCTACCTGAGCAGACGCGTGTAACTGGGGAGACAAAGGGGCGGAGCGTGACGCAGTGGTGAGGGTGTACAGACTGGACCCTGGCATACGAGTGAACGTGGCCAAGTGGCGGCCGGTCTCGGTGCACGTGCAAATCGCCACACGCTGCCGGCCAGGGGTGAAGGTGTCAACCCCCGCATCCTGGAGGACAGCGTTGCTCACCAAGTTTGTAGAGAACGAGGGGAGGTGGAGACCAGACAGCTCACCAGACGGGACCGCCGGACACGGAAGCATGGTGGAAGACCGTGCAAGCACTGGGCCCCCAGAGGGGTCAGCCAGTGAGACAGGAACAGGTGCAGGGAGGGGAGTGACTCTGGTACTATCGCAAAAGAAACAACGGGAAGCACCAGAGTCAAGTGTAAAAGTGTGCAAGGCTTGTGCAGGCGCAGTACCAGGGGGAGCAAACTCACAAGCACCTAGTGTTGCAGGCGCTATACCAGGGACTATACCAGGATCCGACGGCACACACAAGTAGCAGTCACCCTCAGCACTAACAGACAATGCATACATAGCAGCAAGAATAGCCTCATAGTCAAGATCAAAGATAGGTACATCACGCCTAAGTAGCTCTGCCCAGTTGGGGAACTCAGGAGCATCAGGAAACTTGGCGCGCCAGGCGTCGCTAAGCCGAGCGAAACAGCGCTGCTTAGTGTGATAACCTGTGCACTGGCGACCACTGCGGGGACTTGTGCGAATGACATAGGGGCAGCGACCAGGACCCCCAGAAGCCCCACGCCCGGCATACCAGTCAAGAAGCTGCTGGGAAGTGGGGGTCTGGCGCTGACGCTGCTTCTGGTGCTGCTGCTGCTGCTGCTGCGGCTGCTGCTGGCCCTGACCACCACTACCACCACCGCTCCCTCCTCCCCCACCACCGTTGCTACCCCCTCCACCGCTCCCAGTGCCTCCGCCGCCCCCACCACCACCTCCACCGCCTCCACCCCCACGACCACCCCCACCACCTCCACCTCCCCCGCCGCCTGCACCACTGCCACCTCCACCGCCATCCCCACCGCCCCTGCCACCCCTGCCGCCCCTGCCGCTGCGACGCTTCCCACTAGGAGCGGAAGCAGCTCCGACCTCCTCAGCACCAAGGTAGTCGTGAGCAGCAGCTGCGGAGGCGTAGGAGGGGGTGAGAGGGGAGGGGGAGCACCCCTCAAAGAGGGGAGAGCGAGGAGTGCCACGAGCAACACCTACAGCGATGATGTTCTTCTCTGCTGCGAGGAGGTACTTCTCGCAGTCGTCGACAGTGAGAGTGGGGGGGTCTAGCACGAGGAAGTGGTCCCTGACTGAGCTAAGAGTGTCAGGGAGGCGGGTGACGAGGAAATAGCGAGTGAAGTACATAGGGTGGGGGGTTAGCGGCGCAGAACTCGGCTGAAAGGGTGGCACGAAAGCGAGTGTCAGTAGCGCGCAGGTGGGAAATGAGGTCCTCAGCAGTGGTGAACGAGGAAAGGTCGGGGAACAGGTAGGGTAGCATGAGCCGACCTATGGCTGCAGTGGCCGGGGAGGAGTAGCGCGCAACTACAGCGTCGTACAACTTCTTAGCAGTTTTGTGCTGGCTGAAATGCGCGCTCTCAGTAATCGGCAGATGGTTCCTAATAGCTAGGCGTGCAGTAGCATCACGAGTCTGCCACTGTGAGCGGTCGAGAGCAGGAGCATCGGCAGCAGGAGCAACGGCAGTGCCAGACACGTAGTCGAACAATGAAACGCCCTCTTTGGCATCGGTCAGAAGGAACAGTTGGAGATCATCTAACCACACAGCGAACTCTATGGGGCGACCGTCAGGCTCGAACGCGAGAACGTAAGGCGTCGTCATAATGGCAGCAGGCAGAGGCAGGAGGCAGCAGGCAGCAGACAAGAAGCAGCAGGCACCAGGCCACAAGCAAAGACAGAGGCAGCAGGCAGCAGGCAGGAGACAGCAGGCAGCAGGCAGCAAGCAGGAGCGGCCGCACGCGAGCTCCTAAGGCAGCGCGTTAAGCAGCTGCGGGCCGCGCAGGCGGCCGACGCGACGCGCGGCGCAGTGGCGGGCCGTGCTGGCGACAGACGCGGTGCGCGGGGCGACGGCGGGCTGCACGCGATGGCGGGCTGCGCGCGGCGTCGGGCTGCGCGGGCTCTACGCGGGCTGCGCGGGCGACGCGGCCGGCGCGCGGCGCTATAGTAGTGGCGCGCGCGCTAGTAGGCGAGGCGCGCACGAAAAAAAAGTGACGCGCGCTGCAGCCAAGGCGCGCGCGGGCAGTAGGCAAGGCAGGCAGTTAGGTGGGCCCGATTCGTAGGTCCTAAAGACCTCCTGCTCTAGTTACCATGTGAAGAACTAAGGCAAGAATGAGTAGATTAGGTGAAGGTTTGGGTACAAGACTAGGGTATCGAGAAAGTTTTTGTACCCCCTAAGGCTATCTTCAATATAGCCTAGATAATGATATGCATATATTTTGACAAAATGTTGAGGCGGAGGCCCGGAGCGCGGGTTACCAGCCGAGCCGTGAGGTCGGGTTGCGACGTGCGAAGGTGGTGGGAGGATTGTCGAAGCGAGGGTTGCGAGTGGTAACAGTGCTGACTGTGGTGCAGGCCCCTAGATTCGTGTTGAGGTAGTCTGACGCCTCAGAGTACACCCCTCTTCCTAGTCTGGCCGTCAGAGTTACCTTTTTTTTTTTTAGTCTAAAAATTCAGACAAGCACAATTTTTTTTGTCTGAACTGTCAGAGTTACTTCAAATTTTAACATGTTTATGCAGTTTCATAACAGCATAGTTATAATAGCATTGAAGCTGATTACAGCATACCAACGCAAATGTGCGGCCAGAAATGGGGCACTCTGATTGGCCATTTTTCAAGAGTTAGGAACACTGAGCAGTCAGGGTCGAGGTGCGGGTAACAGTGCGTGATCAACTCAAAACCCTCAGACAATGGCCTCGTGCAAGTGCCAAGTGTGGCAAAGCTCACAATCAGCTGACCTGGCAGCAGTCACGGTATCGCTCGGCACTTTTCTGTGCTGGGCGCGCTGGCAGCAGCAAGAGTTTTCAACTGTGTACACCGTATGTGCGTGGAATATTTTCTCCTAAAGTTGCAGCTTCGAAATTTATACTCGGTTTGGCAAGGGGAAATGATGTGCGGTTCTGCTGAAGTATGAGACTCATATGTGACAAGGCTTTCGTTTGCACCAATTCGCTTTTCGCCATGTGCGAGTCGCTAAAATCGTTTTGGCCATGTGCGATTGGCTATCTAGTTTCATAATTGAAGGGTTATTATACGCCCTGAATGAATTAAAAAAGCGTGATAGAGTCGACAAAGTAGTGTATTCTGGTGCCTTTACTCGAGCAGTTCTATCCGGAGGAAATCGTTAGTGCTGGCCCGTACACACGTGGGTGTATCGAAAAGAAGTTTCGAGGAAGTTTTGTTTCAATAACCTTTCATTCAGGCAGGCGGAAACCCCTGTATAACCGGTTTCAGAGTGGACCCCCGAAACAAGTCCGAGGCTCAGCCTACACTACTATGACTACGTTGAAATTTCAGACAAGTCAGTTTAGGGTGCATAAAAAAATTCTTGGAGTTCAGACTAGGTTTAAAAAAAAAAGTCTGAACGGACTCTGAATCAGACTCCAAAGTCTGATATTTAGGGCCCTGCTGTGGTGCTACAGTGATATACGTGCTAAGCAGGGATGCGGCGAAAGGAAATGGAAAATTCCTTACAACTTCAACTTCATTCTAAACGGCTTAGTAATTATACAATATACAGCTCACAGGATATACATATGGTATCTTCTACTATTTCCATCCCGCTGATCTTTCAATGGCTAGTATTTACAGCAACCGACCACTTTAATAGTTCTTTCGGAAGCTGCATGCTTCCATTTTTCATCGTCGCCAGCAATCTTGTGGCTGGAGCCTCCCACATCCATACGCTTGGTTACTGGCCACACACACCAGTCACAGCTTCTGCCCTGATAGCAGGGTTGCCAGCGCAGCTGCCACCCTGGAAGTGTCTCTTGTTGCGATCTGGCCAATGCATGAACCGTCCTGAAAACCAATTCATATTAAAAGAGCAAGGCAAGAAAAAGAATGCACAAAGCTTCATTTTGGTTGATAGATAAAAATAGGGGACAATGTGGGAGGGGTGCACGAGTGGATTGCGCAAGCAGTAATACTGCAAAAGGTGTGCAAAGCATTGTAAGAACATGATTGCACAAGCGGATTGCACATGGCACCTAAAACAGCAGAGACCAGAACTGCCATAGAAGGGCTCACAACAAATGGTTACATACCTTGAAGAAGGCAAAGGCGGGAACGAGCTTGATGCGATACAGTAAGGCGATTTCCTAAAAGACATGAATGGAGAATGGAAAAAATGTTTTAGATAAAGGAAGTCAGAGAAGCATAGAAAGGGCCACTGCTTGTACCTACATGACTCTCAGGTTCAAGCCACTCAATTGCTATAAGCCAAGATCATGTTGCAGAATAAATAAAATCAGGTCAAGACTCCAGCTGAAAAGCACTGCTGGTGGATCTTGACAGAACAAAACAGTGCTTCCAATTTATGACCAACAGTGAAACCATGAGAACCACAAACATGACGAACCACCCAGCGAGTAACCATCTACGGACATACCGTTAAATCGTCATAGTCATCCCGAACATTGTGCTTGAGAAACCGAACGGCTGAAAACTCCTGCCGCACTATTTCAGAGTCAACAGCATCTGCATCCTTGCTCTCTTCAGCTGCTGCTGGAGAAACATTGCTTGCGATTCCACCCGTTGTAACCCTATCAATCATGGAGTTGTCTGAAACTGCAAATCCATCCACTGCACACTCAGAGTCACCCTGACAGCCCTGAACAGAGGAAAACGATCAAGTATGTGAGACATAGTCGCAAGGAGGAACCAGGCAAATGAGGGAAGAAAACGACAGCTTGGCCAAGTAGATCTTAATGTTTCGTGACATGGGAGCACGACGAGCTCTTACTGATTTGCAGAGGTCGATGAATCTGGGAAGAATGTATCTACACGAGCCACATGACGAGTTGTAAAAATCCACAACAACCTGCATCAGGCAACCGCATTTGTGATCATTCAGTCCATTACAACCAAGAAACGAACAGACTGCCGCTACAAGGCTCCAGAAACCTGAGTCTTGATTAATTTTCCTCCTCCATTCCTCAAACCGAAACAAACTCACCAGCTGCATATTATGCTCAGCTGTAAGCAGCTCCGCTTCCAGATCAGCCATAGTCCGCACCTCCCGCACGCAATCCACTGGACACGTCACCGCTGATTCAGCCCGCAGCTTCTCCTCCTCCTGCCGACAAAGTATTGAGTAAAGGATGGAACGGAAGCTGTAAAGAAGGGTTGTTTCGATCATAGTTATCAGCAGTTAAACGGCGTATATCATGCCGATCTGTGCAAGAGATTCATCGAGATCGGTTGCAGGTGGCGGTGGGATGTGTGTGAGGGAGGTTGGGGGAAGAGAGAGCTGAGCGAGAATATTAAAGACGTATGGAGTAAGACTGGAGAACGGCGTTAAACAGCGTGGAAGGAACACGCCGACCGCTTGCACAATTTTTATCGAGACGGAGCGGGACACTCAAGAGGGACCCAGATGCGTGTACCGCCTGCACGCGGAGTCTAGGTGGCCCACTTGTGGGTAATCAGCAAAAAACAATAGGCGTCTCTTAGAGTGGCCCAGAAAGGACGCTTGTTGGTTGATAAGCGAGTTTTGAGGCGCCTCAAAACCGGTCGTGATCAGCGATAAGCGATAGACGTGCGTGTTTCAAGGCTCCCTGAAACACCTTAAGGTTCGGCGTCCGGTAGGATAATGGAAGGAACAAGCAATCAGTGGCGCCACGTGGCACCACTCACCAGCTGACGGCGAAAGAGCTCCTCGAGGTGCTTCCGGCGGTCGACCTGGATCCGTGCGGATACGCGCAACCGCACGGGGGCCGTTGATGAAGGGGATCTGACGGTAGAGATCGTCGGATTCCACCGACGACAATAATCAATCGCCATGGATCTCCGGGGAGCTACATACGCAGGCCCATTCGTCGGATGCTTCAAGTCGAGCCGCGTGACAGAAGCAATTTGCATGCTTCCTACCGCAGCTGATTATGAACTCTCAAGGGGAGATTTAGCTGCCGCAGAGCACAAGCACACGCGAATGCTTATCGATATAAATTACCTTGAATGAAGCTCGGTACGTTCACATAGAAGGTTGGGAGCGATTCGTTAATGTCACATAGAATCGATTCACACGCGTGATCAGTTCAGCATTGAATTGCTAAACGTCGAAGAAAATTGGTGGCAGAACACTACAGTTACACTCATTCGCGCTAAAGACGAGGCCAAATTTATTAGTCATGATTAGGTCAGGCCGGCCTACAGTTGCAAAAACGTATTTATAGCCACATTTTGGGAGCAAGGGACGGCAATACACATGGAAATGTGACTCGCATACGCTAAAAGCACCGGGCGAAAAGGACAAGCACCTCCGACCGAAACGCGCTTGGTGAGATAAACGAATAACTGGGTGTACAGCCCCACCAAAGTATAGCCGAGTCGGCCTAGGGTTTCCGAACCTGGGGTCACTACCTTCCAGATGCAACTTGATTTGGGTTACAGTACTCACAGCTGTAGAAACAGTCCAAGCCGCAACTTTCAGAACCGCGTACACATGGGCGCTGTTCTGTACACCTGATGTCCGTTTTGTTGGGCTGAGATGCCTTAGGATCTTTGTAGAGTTAAAGTCTAAGTAGGATTGTAATAGCGGAAGCGTTTGAATGAAAAGTCCTTGAACCACCTTGCGCTAGTATGTGAGGGCAAAGTAAGTTAATTGAAGCAAGCAAATACAAGGCTTTATATAAGAGTACAAGGAATACGAATAGATATAATTAAACTGTTTTGCTGTTGCGATTCGATACAGTGCGACTCGGGCAACTGCTCAATATCGCGACAGTTGTGTGTCCTTGCTGTCGCGCTGTATTTGTCAAGTCAAAGGTCGCTGACTTTTGACCTTCGCGTAACCTCCAGGCGGTTACCCTAACCTCCGAGGGTTGAGTCGCGATGCTTCGATTTGGACTGCTTCGCTTGTGTCCTGAGTTTCGACACGACACAGGCGCTTTAAGACTTATTGTTCCCAATGTCAAACATTATATATGTTATGCTTGTGTAGGCTACAGTGGGTTAGCCTATAGGGGGTACACAATTCTAGGGTTTCCTACTTGTACTCATTTCACTACTAGTTCATTCATTCCTGTTCGCTTATTCTCACATGGTATAGAGCGGGTCCTTCTACGGACCGTTTTTTTTTTGGCCCACCGAAGCGCCCCCCGAGGCGCGATCTTTTTTTTTAGCGACCCCTCGGGTCGCCATTTCCCCTGCGGCCCCGCCGCCTTCACTGACGCGGCCCCGCCGCCCTCTCTGTCGCGGCCCCGCCGCCTGCTCTCACGCGGCCCCGCCCCGGCTCCTTCGCGGCCCCGCCGCCTGCTCTCGCGCGGCCCCGCCCCGGCTTCTACGCGGCCCCGCCCCGGCTTTCACGCGGCCCCGCCGACGGCTTTGTCGCGGCCCCGCCCAGGCCCTTACGCGTCTCCGCCGCCTGCTCTCACGCGGCCCCGCCCCGGCTCCTTCGCGGCCCCGCCGCCTGCTCTCGCGCGGCCCCGCCCCGGCTTCTACGCGGCCCCGCCCCTGCTTTCACAAGGCCCCGCCGACGGCTCTGTCGCGGCCCCGCCCAGGCCCTTACGCGGCCCCGCCGCCTGCCCCCGTCGCGGCCCGGTCACCTCCTGACGGCCCCGCCGTCCCTTCGTGACAGCCCCGCCGTCCCTTCCTGACGGCCCCGCCGTCCCCTCCTGACGGCTCCTGCCGTCCCCTTCTACCGGCCCCGCAACTGCACCTGCTGGCCCCGCTGCTGCACCTACCGGCCCCCCCACCACCCCCCCCCCTTTTCCCGTCGCCCGTCGCGGCTCCTTCGGGGGCCGCAGCAGAGGGGTGGCAGGTGTGTGGCCTCCCCTGCTTCTCCTCCTCCTTCATCTCCCACTGCAGCAGCCGAGCCGCCCCACAGCCGAGCCGCCCTGCCGCCGAGCCGCCGGGACGCTGAGCTGCTGAGCTGCAGTTGCTGCCGAGCCGCCCTGCCGCCGAGCCGCCGAGTCACCGAGCTACTGAGCTGCAGTTGCTGCTGAGCCGCCGAGCTGCCGAGCCGCTGAGTCGCCGAACCTACTCTTCCCACCACTGGTGAGCTCTTGCCCTGCTAGCACGCTGCGCGTCGCCTGCTTGCCTGCCTGCCTGCCTTTTGGCTTGCCTGGCTGCCTGCCTCCCTGCTGCTAGTCCTGCTCCTGCTTCTACTTGCGGAGCCAAATGCAGCCCCAGCGACGCCGGCGTGAGTCCCTCACGCCGCAGCAGCTGCGTGAGTGGTACGCTGGTTGGGGCTGTAGGGGTGGCGACGCTACTCCTACTACCACTCCTGCTGCTTCTACTCGTGGTGGCGGCCAGATGCAGCTCCCGCGACCCTCTCGCGTGTCTCTCACGCCTCGCCAGCTTCGTGAGTGGTACGCTCAGAGTGGAGGGTCTCTCAGTGCTTTTCGCTGCTCTTACGTGATTCGCACTGGTACAAGGACTGTTCAGCCTTGTGGGACACGTAGTCATACACCGTCCCGCTGCTTCGCCCGTCTGAGCGACGCCTGGCGTACCGTGTTTGGCGACGAGGCTGAGCTTCCCGACTGGGTGGAGTTGCTTAGGCAGAGGGTAGATATATATGCTCTTGACTATGATGCTATTCTCACTGCCATGTATGCATTGCCTACTAGTGCTGACCGTGCAGGTCACCTGTGCGTCCCGCCTGACCCAGGTATAGGACCTGCTGCTCTAGCTACTGGTGAGGCTGCTGCTCTGGGTGCTAGTGAGTCTCCTGCTCCAGGTACAGGTGCGGCTGCTGCTCTAGGTGCTAGTGAGTCTGCTTCCTCAGGTGCGGGTGAGGCTGCGCTCTCAGGTACCGCGTTGGCTTCGGCCTCCCTCACCTTTACACTTGACTCTGGGGCTTCTCGCTCCTTCTTTCGGGACCGCACCACACTCACGCCGCTTGGTCGGCCGGTTGCAGTCTCCCTGGCTGACCCCTCTGGGGGTCCTGTCCTCGCTCACTTCTCCACTGTCCTCCCGTGTCCGGCTGCCCCCTCGGGCACCGTGTCTGGCCTGTACCTCCCCTCGTTCTCGACAAACTTGGTGAGTGGTGCAGACCTACAGGATGCGGGGGTTCACCAGTTCACTCCTGCGAGTCAGCGGGTGACCCACTGCACGGACGCACGCACAGGCCGGCACCTGGCCACGTTCTCGCGTCGGCTGGGGTCGAGCCTCTACACCCTGACCACTGAGTCTCCTCCTGTCCCCGCGTCCGGTCAGGTAGCAGCGTCGGGTCAGGTGTTTCCTGCTGCGTCCAGGTCTGGTCCTGAGTCTGCCCCCTGTACTTGTCGCCTCCTGTCTCACGAGACTCTCCTGTGGCACCACCGTCTTGGCCACCCCTCCTTGCCCCGTCTTCGGAGCATGGCTTCCCGTGTCCTTGTCTCTGGTCTTCCCCAGTCTCTCCCTCCTCTCCCCTCCGGGCCAGGACCTTCCTGTGTCCCCTGTGTCGAGGGTCGCCTCCGGGCTACTCCTCACTCCTCCCACTTCCCCCCGACAGAGGCTCCCCTGCAGACGCTTCACATGGATGTGTGGGGCCCAGCCCCCGTCCGTGGGCAGGATTACGAGCGCTACTTCCTGTTGGTGGTTGACGACTACTCGCGTTACACCACAGTCCTC